CTCGTGCAAACGTGCTTTTCACAAATTGAAGTCTCTCTCAAATCATGAATGACGTGGCTCGCGCGAGAGGTGGCGTGACTGGGGTCGAATGACCGATGGTCAGGGTCATTGTGGATGTGGATGCAGATCCTGCAACCGAAAGCTGCGAGGGAACCATACAAAAATGGCAAGTGCTCGGAATAGCCGCACGTTTTATTAAACTAGGCCGCGAGCAACGTTTTCAAGTGTCACTCGGTGCTGATTGATGATAATTGAACGCCTAACCATTCGGTGTCCTTGCTCGGGTAGGGTACTGTGAAGTGAATTGAAGACGCAAACTTTGAGTCGGACATTATTTCTTTTAGCTCTCGTCGTTCGTTCAGCTCACAACATGGCTCGCTCAAGAAACAGGAGCGGGCGGAGCAGGACCCCAGGTTAGTTCGAAATCCGAGTGGGACAAAAACAGCAACTTTTTTCCCTAAATTCGATATCTCTGGTTTGGAACGGCGGAATTTCATGCGGTAGACGTTGCTGTGAATGTCTCCGCAAGCACGACGAAAAAGAAAGAGGGTATGAGTCGGGTAGCACGTACTCGGTGTCTACCCGGTGGGGGTAGGGATCTGTTGGTGCTGAGTGCTGATTTGAGGGTCTGTTCCCCCGGGCATCGTAGCGCCTCCGGGGAAATTCGCTTGGTGACTCCACGCAGCACATTCCGAAGCGAGAACACGAAATCACGGCATGTTCATGCACATGGAGTTTCGAACATTCGACTGCTGATTGAACACGGATCCCTACAGCTCGGTATCTGTTCGCGAATCCATAAGACTTCTGCGCTCCAGGAGGAGCTCCGAGTGCCTCGATCTCAAAGTTAGTAAGAAACAACAGACGAACATCCGGTTTTTCTTCACGAATACGCATTGAAGAGCAGGAATTGAACCTGAGAACGCGCCGAATGGAAGAGATCTGATCGGCTTTGGTATATCGCAGTCTCCGATGGGTCAGGCATAATTCGGAAACCAACGGAGAGACAGCGTGAGAGACTGCTGGAACATCCAGTGATGAGGAGCTTAGTGGAGGAGAAGCGGCGCCCCACCCTGGGGGCTCGGTCAGGAAGAGTACGTATGCCGAGACGCGAATGAGAGGAAGAAAAGGAGGTGCGTCGAACAAATCGAGAAAACACAACTCAAATTATCTTCGATACGGCTTTGTCCAGGAGCCGGGAACCGATCGTCTTCCTCGGCCACTCTGTCTGTTTTGTTCCAAGAGCGTGACGAATGACTCAATGAAACCTGCGAAGCTCGGGAGGCACCTCTTGGCACACCATTCAGAGAAGGCGAATTATTATTTATCCGATCGAGTATTTTCAAAGGCTGGCGGCCACCCTGCGAGTACAAATAGTTTCTATAGCGAGGATGACAAGCGGAGACAAACGCCTATTGAGCGCTGCTTACTTGATCGCTTTACATATAGCCAAGAATAAAAAACCTCGGATCGCGACAGCTCGGCCACGAGGACAACTCGGCCACTAAGACAACTCGGCAACTACTAGCTGAGCTACGAGTTCGAGCTGGCAAGCTGTTCCCAGGAATCCACGCGAGCTTCAGGAGCTAAAAATTCAACTCTGTTTCTCGCTCGGAGTTCCATTGAAGCTCAGGAGAGAGAAATGTCGACGTCGAATGCAGATACGCGCGTCGCGTTCGTGCGGTGCACGTGCCGCGTGCGTTGCAAGTTCTGCCGGACTTACATGCGGGATGCGAACGCGCAAGAATCTCAATTCATTCCTCCCTCTGACGAGAAATTCAAGTTTCGCCTGAATCCGCTTGGTTAGAATTCCAACGAAGATGTGACCCTCGCTTGAGGGCCAACGGGGCAAACCGAAATTATCACACGATGGGCATCTCTACGTATTCCCGCAGATGCGTAAAGATGGACGGACAGAATTTTGGCGTTGTCAACACGAATCGAGCAAGGCCCAGAAATGCTTCGCTCGACTTCATGAATCCGACTCGATCGACCGCTTCTGTATCTCTTCCAAGTTTCCGAGTGTCTTCTGATTGGCGGAGCGAAGTCCCTCGCCGTAATGTATAGACCAACGAGCCCAATGAAGAGTCCGTTACTTTTCGTCAACCCGCCGTGTTCAATGCGTGTCCTCGCGTGGCCGATCCGTAGGTCTAACAAACAGCGGTGGGATTGTGAATTCTCATCTAAAGAGGAGAAGAAGTGCGACGGAACAAGTGAGCAGCAGAGAAGAAACAGGTTTGTGAAGGACAGATCCCGTGTGATCCTACAGACGTTCTCCTGATTCTCCGCTGTGGTGTTATTCTCCTTGACCGTCGCCTGCGGTGGGTTGCTCGGTGCGGCTGGATGATGATCCGGAGATCCTGGATCACCCATGCTCGGGGTCATCTCTGGAGGAGGCATCAGAGCAATGTGCGATATGTGAGGGGTGCCTGGAGGAGTTGGGTGTCCCGATTGCGCCCCTCGGGCTTCTTCGATCTGAGTCGAGGTGCGCCAGGGTCTGCCCTCTGTTTGTGCGTTGGGCGGTGGTGCAGGAACTTGGGCGCTCGCTGCAGCTGGCGGGGCGATTGTTGGTGTGGCGGCTGGGGGATCCTGGATCGTGTCGAAGGTAGATTCTGTCGTAATTCCGATTCCGGCTACGATCGAGATCCTTAGCTCCTTGAGATATGTCAGCGTCTTGCGGATTTCGTTCTCCATTTCTATCAAGGGTAGGTAAACCTCCTGGGGAGTCTCGGGTTTAGCTTCGATGGGAGCCTCTAAGGCTTGTGTCCATTGGTCGGAGAGCTTGGAGAGGATCTCTTTCAGTCGATCCGTCTCCGCGATTGCATCTCTCGCGTCGATCACATCATTGTGGAATGTGCCGGCGGCCTCACGGTAGAGCTCTATCCTTGATTTAGGAAGGTTTAATTTCGCTCTCTCTGGGGAGATTTTCGAGAGGTCGGGGTCGACGCTGGCCTCAGTGTTTGGGGGTCTGGTACCGGCTGGTCCGAAACGGACGGAGGTGAATTCTCCTGGGGAGGGTTTTGGACTTGTTCCCCCTAGGGGTCTACCTCGTTTTTCGGGCTTGATGAACTTGCCTGGATGATGCTCTGAGCGCGCTGCATGAGGTTCTCCTCTTCGCTGTCTGCCTGTTCGTCGACCACTCTCATGCTGCGAAATTGTTCCTGTAGGAACGCCGAGTTTTCTTTTCGAAGGATTTTTGCGACATTTCCGAGATAGGTTTCTTCTTTGAATTTTCCATCTTTGATTCACAGGGGTTTGAACCCTTCTGGGTGATGTGGATGAGTTAGGCCTAGCCTCTGGTACTTGATAACCGCGAGACTGGCAGACTTCGGGGCCGGGGTTTTGCATCCCGGTGATCCCTGAGATGGATTCGGCCGAAGGCAGGCGTGGGGCTTTTCGAGCGAAATTATTTTTGGGATATTTCGCCTACTTGGCTTGGGCCTTGCCGTCGCGGTCCGAGATGAGTTGATCGTGAAGTTGTTGGAGCGTCTGGGGCCCCTCACTTGGATTGCAGGATGCCCGGTCGAGGATTCTGAGTTCTCGAGCGCGGGTTCTTGATTCTTCTGACACCAAAATGTGGCGCACTGTCCTAGACAATCACTAAATGAAGACGCTGAAGAATTCACGTAGAGATTCGGAAGTGGACGCACTATGCAAATGTGTTCGTTGGGCAGACTAGCGGGTCTGATCCCTGGCCTAGCCGCTAATTTCACTGCACTGGGGATTTGAACCCCTGGGGCGAATGGACAAGGTTCTGAAGCAGGTAGCGATAGTGATCGCGTACCGGTCCTCGACCTTGCTTTCGATCGACTGTCAGTGTGTGTGTGTGTGTGTCGGCTGCTCGACTTCTCCATCAGCTGGCTGCCTGACTGATTGACTGTGGCGCCGTGAGCGGGGGAAGTTGTCGATGGTCGACCGCCGTTGATGCGTGTCTGTGTTCTGGTTGAGTGCGACCCGGCTTCCTGTTGGTTTATTCTTATCTCTCCTGGAGATACACTGATGATGATTAAATGATTATAATTATATGATACACTGATTAACAAAGGAATTGAATAAATATGGATCCTTGATCCGAAGCTAGCCCATTAAGTCTCTCTGGTCTCTCTGAGGGAAGTGATTGGGTTGGTTATGGGTAGGAAGTATGTCTGTGGGGTAGGATAATGTGGTGTGGATGTTGTGAATGCGCAATGGACCTAGTCCGTTCGTCACACTACTGTTTATCGATGACCGTTATCTATGATGGCTGTCTTGTGTCGATGCGCTGTGATGCTAGCCATCCAACACTACTGGTTTGCGGGCGTCCCCACTCATGCTAATGATGTTCCCGCATGAGCTCGGCTGCAAATCGAGATTCAACTTCTCCGCCGCCTCCTGCGATATTATGCTAATAAGCTTGAAGCGGTAGTCTTGAATCTCGAATCTCATATCACGACTGTTTTTTTTCAGAGCAGTTCGAGCTCGAGGTGCCGGAAAGCAGGCCCAAGATCGTTCACACCTGGAGGGTCAGCTGTAGCACGCTGGCCTGGTTCGTCCTTGTTATATGTATAATAATTTGCGGGACTATTTCTGTCGTCCTTTGCCTCCAACTCAAAAGGGAGGTCGTAGAGGAAGTGCACAACGCCTCTGCGACCTTCCGAGAATTTATGGGGAGTCCAATGGTCCGGGACGCCATCGAGAGCCTAGCCGCCGTGAGTTCGGAGCTCGCGGCGGCGGCGAAGGACCTAAAAGAGGAACGAGCCGCCAAGTCGGTGGCTCGGATCCTGGCGCATGTCGCCGATAAGATCGGCGAGCTCGACGATATCGAGCTTGCTAAATTGTGGCGCCAGGGCTCCGACCTCGTCGGCAGCCTCTCAAGGCTGTCGAAGGACGCCTCTGCCACTCTTGAAGGGGTGTTGGCTGTCCTGACGGAAGCCCCGGCTACAAAGCACCGCTTGTGTGGGGTCGCCGGATCAATACTCGGTCTTTTTTTCGGCAACTGCTAAACAAGCTTGGTTGTAGGTAATTTAGGTATAATAATTTGTAAATATCGTCCTCCACGTGCTCGACGCGCCCACCCGGGAGTGATACGATCTGGAAAGCCTGCGGACTGCCGGTAAGCGTCATTTTTCCATCGCGCACTGATGTCAGAAAAAAAACACGCAGGCCATTGACTGAGTCGCTAACTCAGTCGGATAATGGGCGTAGAACTACGCTCTTCTGAATTTTCACCTGGATCCTTAGACATGTTTATATCAAAATATCAGGCTCTCCCGAATAAAAATTTTCTTTTCCACAAATACATACAACAGGATTTACGGTCATAAAACAACTTTTTGATTTGGGTTTCTTTTTGAAGTTGGGTTCCTGGAAAGGCAATTGGTTCGCTTGGGGAAGTGACATCAAGTGGCATCAAGCGAGAAAATTATCATACGATAAGGTCCGTTGACTCCTATTTCAACTCACAGTGAGAATCGTTTCCACCATGAAATGATGAGATAACTTCGTATGAATAAAAGGCGCCACTCCGACTCATCGCGGATATCCTCGAATTTTCCCTCTTGATCATAATGGAAATCATGATCTCGTGTGCGATCATTGGTATACCCATCAGAGAATAGGTTTTTTTCGCTCAAATGTTTCTGCGGAAGCGAATTGTGTCTTTTAAGGCACGATTGAATTCCGAAAAGTGAGATCGCCTTCTTTTTCGTAAGTAGTTGACGGAATCGAGCCGCTATCGTCTAGACGGTCGAAGTTGCCGAAGCTAAACATTTCTTGCCATCATGATATTTGTGCTAGGATGCATAGTTCTCGAGTATTTCGAATTCGAGCCTATATTATGGCCTATTTCAACCCGAAGAAAGGATTCTCGAGTTCGGCATGACCTTCTGACGATGCCTCACAAGCACTCCC